ATATGTATAGAGGTTATTGCTATTTTGAAATAAGTTCTTAAGCATATTTTTCCTAAAACTTAGAACAGTAAATAAAGAAGTAAAGCAAACAATTATCCCTTCTAGTTAAGACCTTTGTACTCGTTTGCTGCTTTACATTGGTTGCTAAGCCTTTAAAAATTTTGCACATGGAGGATATGAAACAAAATATTTCTGTTTAGGTTTTATATATACTTTTGAATAACTAAAAACATCATAAATTACTACATTGATACCATAGAATTCCCCTATAATTTATCAAACTTAGTAACTAAGATGTATTTTAGTCTAAAAAAATATTAAATTTCAACCAGACTAAAGACACACCCTACCTCATTGAAATATTGGTTCAAAAGAAATGGCACCAAGTCCATTAAAATGGCTGAGATTTTGATTGGTTATTCATGTTATATATAGAAGTAATTGTATAAAAGGGAGTGTTTCCAAAAATGGAAAGAGGTGGGCAGGATATCACTGTGTTTGATTTATTAGATGAGCAATATCTTAGCAAATTGCAAAGAAAAGAGGCTCTTATTTTATATTCTAGCTTGTCAATATTGGTAAATCGAGTTTCTAATTCGTATGAAACTATAGACTTAGTATTCTGACTTCACAAATATCTAATTTGAACCAGTGCTGCATTCAACATACCACATGTGACACACACAAAAATCAATGTTTGTCTGTGTTTTTTTAATATTTGCTTTTAAATTGAGAAATTGAGTAATATATTGTACTAAAATTTGAATTATAATCTACAGTTTGATACAAACTTATTAACATAATTTCATGAAATAGTAGTTCAATAAAGTTTTGAATGCAGAGTCAATAAACGAGATGACATGGCCTTTTACCCGTGATCTGTCTCGAAGACAGGCATTACTGAAAACTCACCGGTGCAAGCTATATGTATTATGAAAATATTCAACAAGTTAAAGTATGCTGTTAATAACAAGTATTAAAATATAATCAGGAGATAGAAGTTGAATAATTTCATTAAGAAAAAATAGGCCTTATATGCAGGATGGCAAGCAGTTTGTTTTTTGTTGTTCAGCCAAAAGCTACACAATGGATTTCTGTGCTGTGTTCAACATGGGGGGAATTGAGCCATAGATTTTAGTGTTATAAACCATTAAGCTTAACAATAAGGCAACAAGAGATGAAGGGCAAAAGAAAACATCCAAGCCCTACTAACATTGATACACACAAGTCTATATCTCTCTACGAATAATTTGAGATACTTTATTGTTAAGCTAAGTATTCCATACTATATTAAATTGTACTAATCACTTCATAATGTAACTTACAACTGAAATACTTTACCTTTCAATATTACTTTTTTATACACATCTTTTGTAGCTACAACTAACACCACATTCTGTTATCTTTTCTCAACAAAACCCATTTAAAAATCACAAACACAAGCCTAATGAAGTGCATATAAAAGTAAAAACTTATTCAATGACTCAAGTACTTGATGCCAGCCCTTGCAACAAACACTAACCCTCAAAACTGTAAGAAATAATTTCAAACATATCTCATAATGCTTCAAATGAGCAATACCTTTCTCTGCTTTTCTCATGTGGCTTTAAGTGACAGGAAGTTCTATGGTAAATAAAAATTTTCAATCCAATGACACAAGTAATTTTGAAACTACTACAAAATCTCTGAAAGCATGCAATTTCTTTTATTAAAGATTAAAAAAAGTAAAATATCATGTAAAAAAATAAATGGGTTATTAAAAAAATGAAATATTTCACTTAAAAGATAAAGAAAATGACCTATTAAATGAAAGATCATAAAAATGTAAGGAAACTTATAAATTGGCAACTTCATAAACTTACCAAATTTGTCTGTGCAGCTTGTTCAAGATAATGTTGTGCTGCTTCTAGTTCAATTTTATCTGTAAAACAAGTCAAATGTTAATCTTTTTTTTACATTACATGGGTTAGTAACCTTAATATTTCCAGGAAAAAATCAATGACAAGATAAAACCATATAGTTCAGAATTCTTTACATTAAATTTCTAACAATTCTAAAAAATATCTTAAAAAACATTAATGATCATGAAAACTATAAATTTAACACTTTACTCTATTGAAGCTAATCTTTCTCATAGTCAAACTGCTATTTTTTCACATTAAATATGAGGCCATGGTATTCACTGATTTTTTAAAAATATTTTTCTGAATTGAGCCAGTAAAATAATCATGTATCATACAGTTATCAATAAGCCTTGGACAAGACTTAAACTATCAGTATAATTTTGCCATTTTATTTTCAAATTCAAAGCTCAATACATATTAAAGGTAATTCAATCATAGAAAAGCATTCAATTTCTTCTATAAGCATTTTCCAATTTCATTTTCAACTGCCAATTTTGTAGCTCTAACACTCACTCAAAAACATTTTGGTAGAAAAAATCCATAGAAATGTACAGATTTTACAATACGGGCACTTCATGTTTTAAGTTGTTCTTATAGGCTAACTTAACTCTTTCACTAGGATGAGCACATACATATCTCCCTCTACAGCACTGCCACAAAAATTTAGTTTCAGTTAAGTAATAAAATATTAAAAACACTTGAATCTTTTTGTTTTTTTATAATGCATCAAAGAATAAACCTGTTAGTACTTCTTATGTTTGAGCCGCCTCAAGATCTAATAGCAAATAGCTGGTTCATATGATCGGATGCAGGCATACTCATGAATCTAGGCTTACTATTTCAGTTACATGTGCTTAGTGTTGAAATTCTTCTATAAGTGGTTGTAAAACTCAGTTTAAATAGAATATTTATAAAGTATTACAAGGTTTTCCACAAAAATTATTTCAAGACTCATGTAGCTACCAATTTGAGTCACAGGCAGGCACACAGCACTGAGTGGAGTTTAACTCAAAAGTTTTAAACCATCTAACAACAGACAACTCATAAGTTCACAAATTTCACTCGCTGTGGTCAAGTGAACATTTAGTCTTAATCATGACAATGATTTCAAGTTGCTCAGCTTCCTTCAATTGTTGAAATCTAAGCTTTTGGGCCAGACATGTAGACTGCTAGTTGGACAGGATGACAGCAAACGATCCTGCATCTACAGCATTTTTTAGAAGCTCTTAATCTAAAAACAAAAGTTAAACCTCAAAAGTAGTTTATGGGACAGTTACAAACCTTCTACATTTTCAAACCTGTTGACTAATGCAAAATAAAATGTAATATGTAACCTCAAAAAGTCTATTCATGGCTAACTTACATTCCAATTCAATTATTTTCTAACTAAAGATCAATAAAGAACTAAGTATCTGCAGCCTCTTAAGTTACCAACTACAGAAATTAAATTGTGGAGTAAAATAATAAATAATTATGAAGATGCTGAGAAATATAATGTTCCACTTTAAAAACTAACTAGCAAGTGAAACAAATAAGATATAACAAACAGTAACATTAGTCGATGTAAGTCATATAAAGTTTAGTGATCAATACAAACATTACATATGTGATTGCAAACAAGTAAAATGTAATAAAGGAAGCCTTACTATAGAACCAAAGTAGAAAAGGATGAAAACATGTGGGCCAGCAATAATCAGTTAGAAACAATGATTAACAGAATTTGGGGGTCTATTTTTACATGTTTTTCATAACTTTATTGTTTAAGGCTTGCCAAATAGTTAGCAGAACTGTAAAAAAAAAAAAAGTGTCATATTGCTATTGACACTAAACCTACAGCCAGACATCTAAAAGAATAGGAACTTGTCTTAGATAATAAAGATAGAGAGTGGATTAACGAAGACCAGAAATAGAAACAAGTTTTTATTTTAAGGGAATCAGAACACAACATTGCTATCAGACACTTCTCTGTGTAGCACAGCCAATAAACTAGGGATGCGTATCTCATAATAATAGTTAATGCGATACATATCTAGATATTGATGATATGATATGTATCTAGATACTGAAGTTTTACCAATGGTTTGTTACAAAGTCTGACAGTCTTGTCTGTAATTTATTATCTATATTATTAACATTGTTTTATTTAAGTACTTCACACTTTACAGTGTTTTTCAAATTCTCAGGTTTGATCAACTAAATGGCAGCTGGCAATAAGAGTAAAATAAAAAAAAAGTTAATCTAAAAAAGTCTATCTATTTTGTTATTGTAAGTTTGTTATGTTACTTTCATGTTATGTTTTTGATAAAAGAAATGAAGACAACATGTAGTACTCAATACTCATCTTTTTTATTGAATCATTAATTTTTAACAAAATACTTTATTAGAAATTGTGATTTTTTTCTGTACAAAAGACTTATAATGTTTACTGAGAGCTTGCCAAATTTTGTGAAGTATTCCCACTATTTTAGTTTTATGATAATAATAAATCCTGTTTCCACACTTTAAAATCAACTTAATTAAGGGGTTTACATTAAAGCCAATCATTATTCCATTAAGGAATGAAGCAATAATATGTGGAGAGATACTGTACACACCAAGTTCAGAGTTAGTACAGAACAGATTGTTCATAGGAAGGAATTTTATAAATATGAAAGAGTTTAATATGGAAATAAAAATAAATATACATAAACTTACAAAGTATAAGACATAGCAAATTTGTTGCACAAGAACTGAGATAACTGAAATAGAAAAGAAGTACTTCCAACAATTTGAATTTTGCTCTTTGAATCAAAATCATCTGTTAACTCCTACGGGAAATGACAAAGAACCACTATTGTTTCTCTCTAATGCTTACTGAATATCAAGGCTTACTCAATATACTTAATAAAAACTCTTTTACCTGAATGCTTTTGAAAGATGGACTTTTCTATTCAGAGCCAAACTGAAGAAGAAAAGTCCACCTTTCAAAAGCAATTGGGTTATAGAGTTTTTATCATTTTATATCAAGACTTCTTGAACCTACATGTTTTCCTGACATCATCAATATTCGACCACAAGGAGAACAAGAACAGGTTCCTCCTTGGCAATTGAAATAAGAGCCAACGATGGAATTGTCTTAATGGATCAAGACAAGTCTGTTCCATAGAATATGAAGAAAATGATAAAAAGCATGTTGTATTGGCAGAAGCTCCAAGATATTGATTATGTATGACATGTATATACAAGACCATTGTTTGGAAGCTTCCTACTGATCAACCCCTGCTCCCCCAAACCCGATGAGAAGCATCGGGGAACAGATGCAAATCTGAACAAGGAGGAAGTGTTACTCCTGCCCTAGTGTTGTCCCTATTCAACCACCAATGGAGGTCTTTGGGAAGGGAAGGATGAGTAATTGGGGAGTCAAAAGGATCCCAAGCAGTATTCCATTAGTCTTGCAACATCCACAGAAGAGAACAGATATGTGCTCGACCCAAGGGGATAAGGGCTTTCATGGAAGCTCAAGTCCCCAAATTTGATAGAACCTCACATGCAGAAAGAGAAGAAGAAAGGGCATAGAGAACTGAAAGCTTCACTAAACACAGAAGAAGTGGAGAAAAACACACCTAAGTGGATAAGATATTGGGTAGGAATCAGAAAACTTCTCCATGTTGAGAACCCAACCAACACGAACTACTTCTGTCAATAGCAGACGAAAGTGTTAAGAAGACACAAGTTTGGAAGGAGCTAAGAGAAGCCAGTTGTTCATGTAGTGGTGGAAGCACAACCCTCAAGCATGCAAAGGTATGGCAAAAGTGTTAATCACTTGACAAAATACATATGGTGCTGAAGCAAGTCTAAAAGGTAAGGCAAAAAAACTGAAATACAACACCAATGTGGATAAACCAATGATACGGTTGTGACTGATAAGAAATGAAAATATGAAGGCAAGCATCCAAGACATCTACCTTAGTCATCCACAGAGCTGGAGAAAAAGCCCACTAAAGGGTGAGAAAATATTCCATGGTAAAATGACAAAATTGAATGAGGTGAGACAGAGCAATCACAGGAAGCCATTCCTTAGACTTCTTGGGGACAACAAAAAACCTGGAGTAAAAACCTGTGGAAGGCTGGTTGGCAGGCTCATTAGCATGCTGTGAGAGAAGAATCTGAACAGTCTTGGACAGATGTTGACTGGTAACAGGAAAGATAATGGAACTCGAGACAAAGGTGGAGGAGAGAGAAAGTGAAAAAAATGTCCATTTCACAAACCCCTGATCACGAGTGAACTCCCTCCACAGGTGAACAAATCAAACAAATGTGCCTCTACTGGGCTGAACACCATCAGATAGTCTCAGGAACTGTTGGCAAAGAAGAGTACACCTTTGCAAAAAAAATTGGGCTTGGGATAAATAGAGAGGGTTCACAGTTCCACTCACCACTTAGGCAAAACTTACTCCAAATACTAGAAGTCATAAAAGGGATCAAAGACCTGTTGAATAAGCCAATGCACAATTATCAGAAGCCCATGATAAGGCATGATAGCAACAGCCCTCAATTAAGAAATGAAATGCACAGCATGCACTCTTTGGGAGAAGAAGAGAAGAGAAGGTAATCTGATGATGGGGCAGTGAGTATGAAACTAGGGATGCAGAAAAACATAATAAACCTGAGAAAGCATATCCACAAAGGCTAAGGTAGACCTAGCAGCTTTGACAGGAGAGGTACAGGAATTGAAAGAAAAAACATTGTCAAAATTATCTTAATCATGAATAAGCACCACAGGGATAGGAGGATCTTGCACACTGTTGGGAAAAGAGGGATGAGACATATAAAATTCAACTTCCTGCAAATGATGGCCTAAAATTCCCCAGCCGAGACCCTCACAACTAAAGCCTGTGTCACAACAATCAAAGTAGTGATAACTGTAGCTGAAATTGTGACACAAAATACGAAGTTCATAATTAACTGCACAAAAAAAGCAAGAAAAATAACAAAATAAAGGTAAGTTTCTTGACAATAAACTACTGTGAAGAAACTG